AAGAATTTCACGCATACTTGGGTTGGGTTGGGTTAATAGCAGCAACATGTCGTGTAGGTGTTGCCTTACCAAAGACTAAAGACCAAAAGGCTACACTTGGCCAAGCATAACGAACGTCAAATTCCAGAGGCCTCAAATGACATGCTGGCCAAAAGAGGCTAGAAAGGTTTTAAACACTTGGTTCAAAAAGCATACTAAAGTTTCTCCCCTCTCCATTAAACTTGCAGATGGATTCACCAGTTTTCGCCAAGCATTTCCGGAATGGTGCGAGGATGATAATCAGGCGCATAACAATAAAATGGAATCTAGTCGTAATGTACAGACCGATCAGTTAATGGGTCTTAGGTAAGTGTTATCTCTTTATTAAAAATATAAGGGACTTTATATTCTCTTAAAAAAAGCAAAGTTTTATAACGATACTCGGGGGTGTCCCAGAAAGCTGGTTGATATTCGGTTGTAAGAAATTTCTGGGAAACCCACAGATTATCTGTATTAAATTTTTAATTTAATGGATAAAATCGGGGAGTTACAGAAATCAAGAAAAGACCTTCGTTGAAAGAGATATCTGAGACACCCTTGTGTTATATTTTTTTTGTTCACCAGATTTTTTAAATGCCAACAAAATAATGTGATGACCAAATAAATAACAACTTATTTTGAAGCTAAATATCAAAATAAACCAAAATTTATGAAATTTTCATGTATTGCTTAGGTCTTACCTATTAAAGTGATTCGGTGAAATATATTAAAGCCACCTTTGTGTGTTTTCCAGGTCCCTACGCATTTCCACACCGCATTCCGATTCCGCGTGCAGCAGTTCGGCAGAATCGTCGGATTGCGAGAGCACCGGCCACCATCACCACCACCATCATCATAATTTCAACGAGGCGCCCGTGGAGATAATTCCGGGATTATTGTTCCTGGGAAATGCTTCGCACAGCTGCGACTCGAATGCATTGCAAAAGTACAATATTAAGGTGAGTCTTGCTTGCTTTAATCATGTACCATAATTGCTAAGATTATTATTTTTTCCTTTCCAGTATGTGCTAAATGTGACACCAGATTTGCCAAATGAGTTTGAGAAGTCGGGCGTCATTAAGTATCTGCAAATTCCGATCACCGATCATTATTCACAAGATTTGGCCATGCATTTCCCAGATGCCATACAGTTTATAGGTAAGGTTTTTGAACTCCATACGAAATAGTTATTAAAGACATAGAATTGTGGTTTATTAATGATTGAAAGTGTAACCAATAAGTAATGTTAAAATGAAATGAAATAATGCAAGAAATAATGAAACAAAAAAATTTAAAAAATTTGTAATTCAAAATATAAACGGCAACGAGAGTGTCTAAAACTAATACATTTTTTGTTTCAAATGTCTGTTCTGAACAAGTGATTTATTAATAATTAGTTTAAGAGTTTTCATTCTGATGTTGAAAAGTCGAAAACCGTTTCTTTTAATTTTTATTGCATTATAAATAGTATTTGCAAACCTATACAAAGTGAAGCCGGGGGTATAAAAGAAATGCTAAAAGCCTATGATATCATCCTATTTTATCCATTGAAAGCTAATGCTCTGTTTTTCAAATTCACAGAGGAAGCGCGGTCCGCAAACTCGGCGGTGCTGGTCCACTGCCTGGCCGGGGTTTCGCGCTCGGTGACCGTGACGCTCGCCTACTTGATGCACACCCGTGGCCTAAGTCTCAACGACGCATTTACGATGGTGCGGGACCGGAAACCGGATGTGTCGCCCAACTTCCACTTCATGCAGCAGCTGCAGTCCTTCGAGAGCCAACTGCACCTCAGTCCGGGTGATGGACAGGCGATGGACGAGTCCGGAATGATGGGCACCGGAATGATGGTGTCAATGGGACTGGGACATCCTGCATCCTCCGGTCCCGTGTCCAATGTTCTAGTGGCGAATCCCAATGTGGTCGCTTCGCGTTGCGGACGCGGCTCCAAGTTCTCTTGCAATTGCATTGCGCCCGACTGCAAGTGCATGCAAACCGGTGGATTTATGGCCGCCCATTTGGCCAAGGCCACCGGCGTTTCCCCCGATTCCGGCATCGAGTTCGACCGCTGGACCCCGTCGGATACGGGTCTTAAATGAGAGCAGCTGAGCGGTAAGAGTTTTGTGCTGCCGCCGAGTCAGGAGGTCCTGGCAGCAGCCCTCGCCACATCGCCGCCGCCCATTTGCTTGGCGGTGAATCCGGATAACATGTCCCCGGCCAGCACCACCAGTTCGTCCACATCGACCACGACCACGGCGGAGGCGGTTTCCGTGGTGGAGGTGGTGCAGCATCGCGAGCAGCAGGATATGCCCGAGGAGGACATCGAATCCGGCGGGGAGGACGATGATGAGGAGGCGGGCTAAATGGCAAAGCCTTTCCTAACTTGGTTGTCACACAAAACACCCGTATAAAAACACATACAGACATATGAGCCGCTTATTAAATAGGGGTACGAATTCAAACTTTAAGAAATGTACAAAAAGTCTTGAGGAAATACCCAACGTACACATATTAATTAATACCACATAAATAAATTAATGTTTAGTACATTTTTAAGGTCAAATGCAAACAAAATCCAATGTTATCCACACACGCAAACCAACTACAACTATACAAAAAGAATGAAAAGCTAAAAAATATATAAAATATATTTATATATACGCAGTGTACATGTTTGTATTTAAATCCTAAGCCAAGTCAAGAGAATAAAAATATATGAAAGCCGAAACAAAAATAAACAATTAAACTTTAAACAGTTTTTCTAGGCATATAGTTTTATTTTTAGTTATACATTTTACTAAAACTCGAAATCGTTTATAATTGTAAAGTTTGTTAGATGCGGAGCGATTGGCCGCGATTGGAAGCCCCTAATATAAATATATACCTACCACATAATTACCGAATGCCAAGTCATATAAGTGTAAAAGTGAACTAAAATCCTGAATATCGAAGAATTTTTAAAATTGAAACGAAAACAAGAAACACTAAAACAAAGAAAATAAAATACAACCATTTGCACAACACAAATAACCACACAAAATAACGTTTGCCAAAAGCGAAACATTTTTTATGGTTTTTAACGGGTGGTTTGAAAAGAAATCGGCATAGACCATACAAGTTAAAACATTTTTAAGAAGGTTTGAGAATTTGTCCAGATTGTAGGACATGCCGATAAATAATATAAAAATATTTTCTACAAATGAAATGTTAAAGTTGGAGAACAGCAAAATGGAAATAAATGAAAAGATTAATGTGTTATGTAATGGATATGAATAAAGTTGTGTATGTCAGCTGTTTTCCAGTCGGGCAATGTTGGTACAAAATTTTATCAGGTGACGTTTCAAGAAACAAATAAAAACCAAAATAAATCTGTAGAATGGTTTATATGTAATACAAAAACAAACGAAAAAAAAAAACTAATAATAAACCAAGAAACTTTTTTGGAAAAATAAGGCTGTGCGCAATATAAAAACAATATATATAACTGTAGAGAAAAGCAGAGATTTAATACAGAATTTGATATAAAAAAGGTTGATATGCCAGAATGGATTGGTTAGTTGGATTTATACGATGTGGTGAACAACCTTCTTTGGCCCAAGGCAAGAATTTGTTTCTAGCCAAAGCTCGACTGATTCGATTTGATAAAGATAGGACAGATGGAGATGTGGTAAGTGAAATGGTCAGAATATTCTAAATTTTAAAGCTCAGGAACTAGGTCCAACCCCGACGGTGGGTTGTAAGAGTGCGATATAGGTATGCTTTGGGAAATATAGAACCCAACTCACGTTGGTCTCACAAAATATGCGACTGCTAAGTCCATACCACTCCTCATCCAAACATATTCCACAGAAATCATGTCCACTTTGAAGGGTTTTTATTATAAAACAAACTGAGTTCCGAAGCGGAACTGTTTTTGATTAGAAAAATGGCTTTATTAAAGCGAGCGAATGAGTTTTGATTAGGCAGCTAAATACGGATAGAAGTTCCTGTTAAAAGGGAAGCTTGCTGAGCTAGAAAACGTCTAGTTGCTCTAGGCTATAAGATTTTTGCAGAGGGAAACCCTACGATTTTGAACGAGCTTTTCCAGTTAAGCGCCAAAAAACTGGGAAAAATAACATAAGCAACAAGTTTAAAATGCCAATCTAATGTTGAAAGCCTCAGTCAGTATAACATAAATAAGAATACAATTATTCACTTTTGAACGGCATAAAATACGTTTTTTAAACTATATGCGAAGTAAAAATGTCCCCAAAACCCGTAAATAATTGTGTGTCGAACGTTTTGCCACTTAATAATTAAGATAATGGAAAATGTATTAAAAAAATGTTTGCTGATCCATGTGACAAATTACAATTTTTTTAGCAGCACAAAGCGATCCACTTTTTACAAGCGAAAGCAAAATGGAATCGAAATTTTGCTGCCAGGCAGCGCATTTGTTGTTCATGCCCGCCAAAATGGGCGTGGCATGGGCCTGTTTGCCGAGATTTTTTTAGTCCTTTGGTTTTTGTTAGCATAAGATAAACAATTTTACATATTGTACATCTGAGTGTTGAATTTTTCCATCAATGTTTAGCACCAAGATAAAGAGAAATTTAAGCGACAGTGCCAACAAAAAAAGAAAAACACCTAAATCTAAATAATAAATTTTACGAAAATCGAATATGTACCTTGAAAAAGTCCAAGAAAAATGATTTGTGGCGGTAGCACTGAACACGCAGCTTCAACCAAACCGATCGATAAATAGTCGAACAATAAAGAAGAGTCCCCTTCTGTCAACGTTTAAGGACGAATATTCTATAGCTACCTAGTTGTGTTTTGCACATTTTGTAAACTTTACAACACGATGAAAGAAAACCGAATATCTAAATAAACAACAGCCCCGCAGCGTTATATATAATGATCTATATACTTATACAGGATACAAGAACATAACTAATAAAACCGTTTTTAAAACCCGTAAACAATTGCATTTTCACTATGTTTTCAGTTTGTAAACATTTATTTAAAACATATGAGTAAATTAGTCCTAAATCGAAACACAACGAGTTAGTTGTCTACAAGTGGCTCTAAAAAGCATATTCCAAGGTGTTTTTGTTGCATGTTTACTGGAAATAGATGTTCAACGTTTCTGTTATGGTTTAAGTTGCAAATCTTATAATTTCTTTTAGAATTTAAAAGTATTTCAGTTTTAAGGAGTTTATCAAAATTTATCTAGAGTATGTAAAACCAATATGAGCATATTCACAGTATTAATAACTTCCACGAAAATATTTATAAATACCAAATTACCAGAACACATTTTGGGACATGCTTGAACATAATGCCCTTTAAGTACATGCCATGCTACGGTTTTCCATTCGACATAATTTTTTAAGTGTTGAGACTGGAACGTATAAAAAAAAAGTTTAAAACATGTTCACAATTCTTAACAGATGAACAATTTACAACTTAAAATTAAACAACTTATGAAACAAAAGAATATCTATAAAAAATGTAGTTACGAAAACCGAAACAGGCATGAATATTCATTTCACATAGAGTTGAGATTCTTTCAGCTTAGTGACTACGACAATTGACACGAGACAAGGAACAATCTGAAACAATAAATGCTACAAAAAACACGACCAGAACAGAAACGACTAACACATTATTGTCTTCCTTAAAATCCAGAGTTAATATCGAGCTGATCCTACAGGCCCTTGTTGAAGTAGACTCGTTTGGGGACATTGCCGCCAGTTTTCTTCTCGATTTCCTCATAGAGTTCCGGTTCAAAGGTGCGCATGGTTGATGTGTCCAAAGAACACTGTTGTGGGAACAGAGCACAGGCAGTGGGAACCATGAAACAAAGGCTGAAATGAGGAACATAAACCGTTTAATTTTAAGAAATAAATTTAAACTAAAAAGCCACTTACAAACATCCAACCATGAGGGTCTGGAAGGGTGCGTTTATCCACTTGATGCGCCTGTAAGCAGGCACTTTCTCCAGCCTTTCCATTATTAAAGGCAGGATCAGCATTCCAGGCGCCGCCATCGCAATCCTAGATATAACCACCTCGCCTATTCCCTTGATGGCAGCCAATCTACTCTGGCCCACAATCACTCCGTCCTCGTTCTTCACCTCAATGCCATTAAGTATCTCATTCTGTCGCATAAACGGAATGTTGACAAAATTTGCCGCCGCCACAGCCGTAAAGGGCACAAATCTTTGGAACAGCGGACTCGCTTTCTTGGACCAATAGTTCTTGCATCCAATAGCTGCTATCAGTGCCGATGTGGTGGCCGATACATATGCCACGCCCAGCTGCGTAACGCTGGTGGGCGAATTGGCATTGCGGTTCGTGTAGTTGACCACCGCATTGAAGGACTGGTTGATGAACTGCCAAAGCACCACGGCCGGAACGGTGCGATAGAAGGCCAACATGCCCCCGGTGATCAACATGCCACCGGGCACCTAAATGGGCGAAAAAAACACAAAACAATTAGTTAAACCGATCAACAAAAGCTATTATCTGCAAAACAATTAGAATCCCCTAGAGGCAAGAGGAAATTTTAAGAAAAGGCCTTGGAAATTTCATACCCATATCAGCCAAGATTCATAAAATCTCTAGAGATTAGAAAAAATTTGAAAGATAAATCACACTCAGAATATAAAACTCCCTTGTTTTTTTCTAATAAAAATAATTTTGAAATTTGAAATAGTTTTAAGCCATTCAAAGATATTTTTCAATTTTCCAGATATTAGGTCGGTTTTTTGGAGTGCTGAAAAATCAAATCATTATTAGCTTTTATATACCTCAAATTAACAATTCCTAGCTGACTAGTGTTGATTTCGTGCCACTCTGTATTTTTGGCAAGCCATTCACAAAAGTATTCGCCAGACGATTCTATTTTCAGCACCCACGTGCCAAACCCATCACGAGACTTGCCTGAAAACTCATGCGGCCGCAAAAGTTCTGCAGTTCCCCAGAATCCGGATGAAATGCGGAGTTGTATAGCTTCATGTTGTAATGCACCTCCTCCGGTTTCACCTGCGGCGATTGATCACCTTTCCGGTATCGTTCAATCATGGTTTTGGCTTCGAGCAGACGATCGCTGGAGAGGATTACGGTCCGGGGATCCGTCATCCAGGCGAAGTACTGGAAGCGCCCAGCGAAGGTGCTGAGATCGAAGAGGGGCTTGTCGACATCGATAAGGGCTAAAGCAGAGTTTTTGGTTAACGTGATTTGGTAAGCAAAATAATTATCTTTGGAAATCTGACAGAAATCTTAGATGTTAAAACCAAGTTTTAGTACTGGTAACCGATTAGATATCCATTTCTTCGATAAATGCGTATTAAAATTGATTAACATAAGTAAAAATAACTTTTAGTTAAAAAATCATCAAAAATAGTTTTCCTATATATTCATTTTTTATGTTTACTAAAAAAAAAATTTTATGAAAGTTAATTTTCTTCTTCAAAATACAATAATATATTCATTGCACTGTAGTTTTTCTAATATGAACAATTATTTAATTTTTATGGTCTGGACACCTAGTTAATATTTCGCTGTGCACCTTAAAACATTGAACTAGAAATAACAATCCCTAACAACAGCGATTCTTTTTTTTTAAATTGTATAAGCTTGATTACTTTAATAATAACTGAGATTGATTACTGATATTGATTAACTTGAATTGTTTGGCGCTAATTTGAATCTATTAGTTATCATTTAAGATACTTATACTATGAGTACTTTTTTGAAGTGCACTTTTGGTCTTAAATAATCTGGATTTCTGTGACATCTCAAATAAAGTTAAGGGTTTATTTGATGCTTACTTGATACCTGCGACATTTTGGCAGTTGATCAAATTGCTTAACTGGTTGTAATTACGAGTGGCTTACGTAAGCAATAGCTGTCAGCTGTTGCCGGTTTATTGCGGCCTGTTGTTGTTGGTTGCTCTTTTGGCCGGATTTTCACCGTATGTGTTTACTTAGGGCCGAATTAATGGCAAATGATTCAGTTTCAGCCACGCACCTGATCCACCAGCTGTTCTTTTCACCTTTTCTGCTTTGTAATGCGGTTCAAATGTCCACTTTTTATTTTTCTTGCTGTTTTTTGGCACTCTTCCAAATTGCAAAAAAAAACTGTTTGTTTGTCTGCTCTTTATTCGCTCTATTTCGTTAGTTTGTTCATCCGCTCGCACCCACCGCAATTACTCAATTTAGCACTTCTTTTGTCGTGCAATTTAGCGGATAATTGGCAACTAAATCGAATGGGCGAAAAAATGCAAATTTTCAAATTGTTTACGGCGTTGGTGAAGAAGAAGAGTGGAGGGGGTGGTTTGCCACGCAAGTGTGACCATTTGATCGTGTCGTGTGAAATACCACTAACAAGCAGTTAAAAAATGCCATCAGTGCTGGTCCCAAGCAAGCAGTGTAAAATGGTCGAAAAAAGCTAGAAAAACTAAAAGCACAATATAAATCTATTATTGTTAACAGACTCTTTTTCAAGATAAAAAAGTGTCACCTCTTTAAGCTGTTAATGCTTAGTTTAGTTTTCCTAACTCTTATTTGATGAGTTTTTTATCTTTAATCGCCGAAAGATGTTCTGAGGAATACCTTTATTTAATTTCTAAGAAAATTAAAAGGTAGACACATTTAATGTTACACATTTATTGTACATTATAAGAAGAATTATGTTCCTGGAAAACAAGCTTATATTGAACTGATTGTTTCAATGCATTGCTTCTATGGCTTCAAGCGATTATAAAAGTTTTCCAACTATTTACATTTAATTAAAACCATTAAACCTGATATAGACTGATCCTGAATGATCAAAAAGACTTTCGGAAAAGTAAAACCAGTCATCTTAAATACGCTAATCCAATAGCGGTGATCATTAATGCACAGCAGTTATAAAATCAATAAACTCTACCGTCCGCAGAAAATTGTAATGGTTTCTTGTAATATTTATTATTTTAATAACAATTTTGAGGGGATGAGTGACTAGACTTAATTTTATTATTTATTATCTGGTTTTGCTTTTTCTATTTAAAAAATCTGAAACGACATCACTGATGTTATCCCCAACGACGCGCAGTTGCCGTTCCCACAAAACGCCGACACAGCCGCACAATTGCAAATACAAGTTCTTTTCACTTTCGTTGCGCTTCGCTCTACATTTTATTTGGAAATTTCTGTGTATTTTCAACACCAGCGATATTGTGCCATCTACTCGTGGCAGCAAGATGATGAAAATCGACGGAGAAACCCGAAGCAAAAGCAGCAGATAATAATAAAGGTCCAGCTGTGCGTGTGTGTTGTACGCCTGTTGTGATTGTGTGTGTTTTTGCACAAAAAACCGGAAAGCAAAAACTCACAGACACGAATGCGGATACAGATGCGGATGCAAATGCAGATATTATCCACATAAGGCGGATATTATCTACAAACACACAAAATGCAAATCCTGCAAGTGTTTTTGGCAACGCTGCTTTGTGGCTTCGTTTTGGGCGCCAATATCCTGGCAGTTTTTCCCAGTGTCTGGAAATCGCATTATCTTTTTGGACGGAGATTACTGCAGGAACTGGTGGAAAGTCGGCGGAATCATTCCGTGACTTTGATCAGTCCGCATGCCGCTGCACAGGAAAATGCGGATGTGGAAATTCCCAGGATCAGGGAGCTGCGAATCGAGGGTCTGCGGGAAAATTGGCTCGATATGGGCATGAGTTTCGAGGCCGAAGAAATGCGATCGCAAAGTGTGATGGAAAGGTTCACCAGATTGACCTATGCGGGCACCACCAATGTGGATATTCTATTGTCCGATCCACAGGTGCGAAAGCTTCTAACAAGTGGCGAAAAATTCGATTTACTCATAGTGGATTTGTTTCTAAGCGATGCTCTACTAGGGTAAGCTCAAAAATGGGTTTTAAGACGTGTCTTTTTATCCAAAATTAATGATTAAATATCTCTCCTTAAAGCTTGGCCTTCTACTATGGCATACCCACCGTTGCTATTAGTCCCACCGGCGCCAATTCCTGGCTGAATAATATGTTTGGTAATCCCCAATCCTCCTCACTGGATCCCAGCAATTTCCTACCCTTCACGGAGAGGATGAACACGAGGCAGAGGATCCTAAACTCACTGATGAGCACCTTCGAACGGTTGACCTACAAGTAGGACCCAATCTCAGTATATCTGTTAAATTTATCATTCATTTTATATTATTCTCCCAGCTTTTTCCACCTGATCTCCCAGCAGTCGGTGTACACCAATCACTTTGAGCTGCTCGTTAAGGAACTGCCACTTTATAGAGATCTAACCAAGAATCTAAGCTTGGCCCTGATCAACTCCCATCCTGGTTTGCATTATCCACGTGCCTATTTGCCAAATATGGTGGAAGTGGGCGGACTGCATTTAAGCGACTCAAACGAACTTCAACTGGGAACGGTAAATTAAAATTTACTGAGAATTATTTATTTCTAATTTGGTTTATTTTTAGCATCTTTTGTCGTTTATGGAATCAGCTCCAAGTGGGGTCATCTATTTTAGTCTGGGAGCAGATGTACAAACAGCTCAGCTGCCACAGGAAAAGTTGTCCATCATTCTCGATGTCTTTGGTCATCTCAAGGAGTTCCACTTTCTGCTGAAATGGGAAAAGGAGGAGTTTGCAGTGGACCAAGAGCTGCCGGAGAACGTAATGATTGCTGATTGGTGGCCACAGCAGGCGATTCTATACCATCCGCAGGTCAAGATGTTCATTAGTAGCTGTGGGCAGTTGAGCGTCTGGGAATCGATAAATGGGCAAAAGCCCATTCTTGCCATACCCATATTGGCCGATCAGGAGGTAATGGCCAAGCGCTTGCAACACCACGGAGTCTCCCTGACAGTTGGCTACGATTCCATAGCTTATGATGCCCTGCTTCATGGAATAAGACAACTCACCCTTAATACCAGCTATGTGGAGAAGTTGGGTCAACTCAAAAATCGACTGATTAGCAAAGACTCCTCGCCGGCTGAAAAAGCTGTACGGAAAATTCAGCTTGTATTGGATTCCGGAGGAGCCGATTTCCTAAAATCCCACGCCAATACTTTGAACTTTTGGAGAGCCGAGGGCGTGGATGTTCTGCTTATAATAACCTTGGGTTTTTGTGGAATTTTGATCATTCCCTTTTTGGCTATTTGCATTATTCTGAGAAAATCCTACCATAGTCAAGCGGGACAGGATCAACCTACATGCAGAACAAACCTAAAAGTGGTTGGAAGAGTTCATAGCTATGGAGATCCGGGCAGTAGTAAATCTGCAAAAGGAACTGAGACTCTCAGAAGAACGCGATCAGCTCAATCCTTATCGGCTCGGTCCAGCTCTTCGAGCATGAGTTCCACGTCGCAAAGCCCATCCACAGCGTCCACCACGCCGCTGGACCTGACTCCACCGCCTCTGATTCAAATCGCCGGACAGGTATCGCCATTGCAGTTATATACAAAGACGATGGAAAGAAACTACAGAAGGACAACACAGAACGAAGGTTCTCATAACGATATATCTCCCGACGAAACCTAAAACTAAAACTTACGGTGGGTCAAATAGAATGGAAGTAAGAAACTAAAAAGTACACTTTTAATTGTCTAAAGAGTACAGTCTGATCCCGCGTCACAAAAAAACGATCCACCCTTAACTAATCCTTAAAATATCTACTAGTGTTAAGTGTGAGTTTTTGTTAATAGTTGTGGATATGTGAAAGAAATTTGTGGTTTTATATTTGGATAAGTTTTAATGTTCTTAAATTGTACATAATTTTGAATGTTTTTGGTTTCTATAAATTGCGTGTGAACGAAAGTTCCGACTTTTAACAGGAGATATTTATACCGAAACAAGTATAACAATAAATTTAGTATTTTAAATTGAATTTATGTTTCTGATATTACTGTCAGAGCTCTTTACCAATCCTTTTCAATTAATATTTCAATTCAAAGACTGAGACAACTACTTTCTTATACCCTTTAAATGAAAAAGTTAACCTTAAAATAAACAATAAATGCGGTTAAACTGCAAAAGGTTCAGCTCAAGAATGCATCTAAATATTGACAAAATGTGAACGTCATAGTTGTTAATTTCAAAACGAAGTTATCAACATAAATGTTACGATAAATTTATTATTGGATTACATTTTTTACAATTCGGAAACTATTTGCAGTTTTCAATTCGGTTTAAGTTTATTTGATTACTTTATATAAGACATATTTTATAAAGCCATGTATAAATTGTTGAATAAAATATAAAATAATCATTATATCTAGGAATATTTTTTAATGGTATTATGAGGAAATACTGGAAAACGATTTCCAATTATGTTTGTGGCGAAGAATTGGAGAATTCGTCCTTATGAAGTGTGAATATTTTTTAATATTTAAAAGAAACCTGGAATTATCTTAACGAAATTGTTTATTAAAGAATTATAAATTTTCCGACATGAATTTCTGCTTTAATTCAGCCACGCAATTTTTAATTACAAATTTTATGTTGCCCTCAGTGGCTAATCACTTATTTGTGCCACATCTTTGTTTGAACTCTCCTCGTGTTATGACAAATTCAAAATTCTTTTAGTTGGCAAAGAACAGTTAGCATTAATTATGGTTTCATGTGGCATTTCGGGGGCAAGGGGCGTGTCTAATTAGTTGCTAATGGCGGCATGCTTTGATGTGCATGGCGGCGTGTGCACTTCATTTAAGCCGAGTGCGGCTCAAGTGTCTCTGAGGATGTGCCACGGATGTGGATGCGACTGCGGATGCTCCGCAAGGGATGGCAGGATGCCAGTTGTTGCAGCAAAGTCACCTGTTTGCATTCATCAGTCCACACATGTAGACAAAGGGAAAACGAAAGCAGGTGAGTGGAAATTTTTGGGGGAAGGGATGTGAATGTGTGCCCGATGGGTGGCACTTTTTCACTTGGTTTCCCCACCTGACGCTGCCTGTTAATAAAACTGTATTTATGCACATTTGCCGAAGGTAAGCTACTGAAGAACCCTGGGAGGAAAATATGCACAGGGTTGGGTTTCCTCCTTCCATGCGCATATTTTTGGTTAGACATTGGAAATTCGATATGTTAACCACAAGTGACATGACGCGATGGTATTCCCATGGCATAACTCCTCATCTCAAAGCCCCAAAGAAGCTAATTCTGGGTGGGCATGATCTGAATGGGGAATTAAAAGGGCCACCCAAGTTATTCTCTTATAGTAAATGAGGTTCAAAGTCAGAATTCGTACACAAAAATTTCTTCAGAAATTGTTTTCTAAATAGATGTGGAGAAGATGTTTGGGATTAAACTTTAGTTGAAATTTTTATTTAGTGGTTTACAAAGAGCTCTTAAAAAATGATAAAATAAAAATATTATTATTTAATTTATTATTATCTAATCTAAAAAGTCTACATCGAGTTAACAAAGACATATTTACACATAATTAAATTAAGGTTCTTTATTATTATATTTGAATTTTTTTTTTAATTTATCAAATAAAGTAAGAAAATTTAAAGGTCTAATACGTTTTTCTTTGTCCTAAAGATTATATTTTGCAGATACAATTCGTCCTTTTAATCACGATTAATAGGTATAGTTTTTAATGCTTCACTATATTAGGCTTGAACTTTACAATTATCAGGGCCATCAAAGGCCTCAATTGAACCCATCTAACCCGCTCTTCACATCCCAAGCTCAAGCCCCATCATTGGCGGTCGACTTTTGCTCTGGGTCGTTGTCAGATTATCAAACCGACAGTCCGTTGGTGTCCCATCAAAGCTCCACTTGTCACGGGGGCCAGGAGACCGGGAAGAGCTTGGGAATGGGGGCCAACTAGAGAGGAGGCCACGGGCACGACCGCCAGTCGCGAATGTCAACCGCAAGAAGAGCGGTGGAGTCAAGTGAAGACTTCTCACATTGACAGGCGGCCAGTGCAGTCGTCCACAACATGAGCTTATGAAACGGGGGAGAGAAGGATATACACAGGAAAAAAACAGGGTAAACATTTCAAAAATAATCAGAAATATCTCTGAAAATTAGCTATGAAACGATTCCTTGAACCTGATACATTCTTTTGCACAATTACCCTGTTAAAAGTATGAAGATTCGTTTAATAATAATGAAATCCACACATTTAAACTATAAATGATTAACAAAACACAATCAAATTATTATCTATAATTTCATATTTGTAAAACAATAAAGTCAAGAAGAACTCTGCGACTTTGAAAAGTATATATCTTCTTGATCAACATCAGACAAATTATAATCACTATCATTAAAATAATTGGGTTATACATTTATATAATAAAATATAGTACTTAACGACTAACATTCCATTGATATTTTTATACCCGTTACTCGTCGAGTAAAAGGGTATATTGTATTCGTGCAAAAGTATGTAACAGCTAGAAGGAAGCGTTTCCGACCCTATAAAGTATATATATTCTTGATCAGGGTCACTAGCCGAGTCGATATAGCCATGTCCGTCTGTCCGTCTGTCTGTCCGTCTGTCTGTCCGTCTGTCTGTCCGTCCGTATGAACGCTGAGATCTCTTAAACTATAAAAGCGAGAAGATTGGCATTTTGCATGCAGATTCTAGGAGTTCCTACGCAGCGCAAGTTTGTTTCAAAAAGGTGCCACGCCCCCTTTAACGCCCATAATCGCTTATATACGATTTTAAAAATGTAAATATTTCGGAAAAGTAAAAATGCAGTTTTATTGTGTTTATCAATACCTATCGAAATGTAAAAGAAATTTTTCAAATCGGACCATTCGTTAAAAAGTTATGCGTGATCAAAGTTTCTATCTCCATCTCCCTCGCACTCCCTTTACCTGAGTAACGGGTATCTGATAGTCGGGGCACCCGACTATAGCGTTCTCTCTTGTTTCTTCTGGGATCTTCTGTATTTAATTAATTAATACTTATTGACTTCAAACAGTTTTTTCTAAGTGCACGGCAAGAATTTGACATTCCGAGGTCTCGGGTTACGGCCATGGGAACAGAAAGAGTTCGAATTGGTTTTGGCTGGCACAGGGGCTTCCCTACCCGTATCCCCCATCTCCCATTAGCACTGCTGTCACAGGGGTCCCATGGGGACCGGGATCCAGTGGGGAGGCATGGATGGCATTGGCATCAAAGGCCCCCATTGACGGAGCTGCCGAGCTGTTGTCATCATCTGTCCACGGGCGGCGGCTCCTTTCAGCTCCTTTGATGTCGGGGCTACAAAATTAATTGCATGCTACACAAATCCCTCCTTGGCCCATCTGGCAAACTAAAAACTAAAACCTAAAAACTCTAAATCAACAATCATCATAACTATAACTTTGTACTGGCCCAAAGGGAAAGGGGCAGGCGGTATGTGCTGTCAACATGCTGCCAGTTGCCTTGCTCGCTTCATTTCCCTCCCCTCGCTATTTTCAACACTTTTGTTGGGCACACACTTGACTCTTGCCACGCCAAATCCCACGCAATACACACAGAAAAATATAAATTATTTGTAAGAATGCGTTGTGAAATTTGATCTTTGAAAATATTAGGGCAAGGTAGGGTTTTGTGGGAATTGAGCTGAATGTCTCAAACTTTATATCTGTACATTTTATCCTTTTCGATTTTTTCAAGAGAGTTTTAATTTATATACTAAAACAAATTAACTTAAATGTTAAAATTAAAAGCTGATTAAAGTTTACTAATTTTTTAAAGTTAACACCATGTGTGCAAATCGAACTTAATTTGTTTATGGATGTGGTAAACCATCATAGTTTTAGTTTTAGTGAAGCACACAATTTTAATACTATTAATGTAAAAATAAAGATAATTTTTTACAGTGCCCCAAGAACACGAACATATGCCACTCCCTCATTTGCCCCTCACATGGAGTTTCCGGCTTTTGTGTGCATTTTGCACTCTGTTTCAATTTAATTACTTTCGAGTTACGCAACGAGGACAGGACAAAGTTTGCCGGGATGTAAATGGAGCAGTAGACGAATGATTTAGATGTCCTCACAGTCCGCCGCTGCAGTCTTCAATTTAAAATTCATAAATCACAAATTAAATTAAATGTGAGGGAAATCCTCAGTTGAAATCCTCGGCAAAGGATAACACAGTTGTTAAGGCGATAGTAGTCCTCCACGATTCGTTTGCACAAATTTGCATTTATCGATTGGAGGAGTCGACGGGTCCAAGCAGAGGCTTTTTCAGATTTCTGTTTTTTTTTGTTGCTGCTGTTGTTTTTTGGGTGACATACAAAAAATAACAACACAATTTGCATAAACGTCAACAGCAGCAGAAGAAAAAAAAAAAAACAAAATGTGGCAGCTGTTGCTGCAGCAAGGAAAAACAACATCAGAATAAGTAAGTAGGGGGTATATGGACAAAATAATTCGGAAGGAAAATGGGATGGGAGACCTGACTTCGAAGCTAAGACAGGAAAGCCTGCCGTCAGTTTTATGAGCTGAATCAAAGTCAAAAATATCAAATAAATTCAAATAGATATGGAACCGAATTATCTAAAAGAGATTTCGTTAAAAGTTTGACTTTTTATAAATTCTGAGGTAAATATAAATATAGGAGAAATTGTATAGCACATCTTCAATCAATTATTTGGGAAAGTAAAGAGACCTATAAATATAAAAATAAATTTATACAAATTTACATATCTGATCAAAAAATAGTAAAGTTTTTAATTTATATATAATATAAATTATATATAATTTATACATAATTTCTGATCAACTATCGAAATTTTTTTTCTTAAAAAATATTTTTTTATGCATTTTAGGAAATATTAAATACTAGTTATTTACATAACCCACAAGTATTTTTGTTTGATTAAAATATGTAAGAATCCCATTGCCATACAAATCATACTAAATGAATAATTAAAGCACAAAGATACACTCAGTTGCGTACTCACGTTTATTACTCCCACACGGACTCGAAACAAGTATGTTTGCCAAATTCCCAAAACTTTTCCAACAAGTCTCCTTATGTCCCTTATTTGAGTACCAAAGTCCAGTTTTGTTGACCCTTTCCCAGGCTTCACATGACTATTTTTTGGCATAACTTTATTGTGGCTGTGACGGTTATGACTGTTGTTTTTGCCTTTGTTGGCAACTTTAAAATGCATTCGAACACGGTTAAAAGTTGTCTGTGGGTGTGTGCGGGCGTTAAGGGGGCGTGGCACTGGGGAGGGGTTGGCGAGGACAGCAGGAAATGTATCCCATAAGGAGTAGACCAGAAACAGAACAGAGCGGAAGGCACTTCCTGTGAATGTTTGAGTGTGTGCTCCTTTTGCATCGCTCCTCCGAACTGTCCTGCCTCTATCCCCGTCCTGCTCCTACTGCCCTCTCACTCGCTCGCACCGCCGGGCCCGATGCAGATAAGAAGCATATACGCTTGTCAAGATTTTCTTTGATGTCTTTTTCAGGGGGCTTGGGTGCGGCCCGACCCGCTCCATGTCCAATTGTTCATTCTCTGCACAGTAGAAAAAATCGAGCTAGAAAAAAATGTATATTAACTATAGAGTTTTCAAACAAATTAACACAATTTTTTAATCTAGAACGCTTTAATAAAATAAAAAATTTGTTTTTTATCAACGTTTTTGTTATAAAAAGGTTATTAGAAAAAATAATTTTTAAATTACTTTTTAATAAAACATAAGCTAGTATAAAATAATTTAAAATGAATACGTCTTTTTTTACTGGAAAAAATTCAAAAATAATGCTGCTAAAAAGCTTCAAAAAATTTAAAATAAATTTTTGATTGTATAATGAGATAACTTACAAGTCTCTAACACTTCCCTTTTTTCCCACAGTGTACGCCTCTGTTTCTGTTTAGCTCAACAGATCTTGTTCTCTGTGTGTGGGTTGACAACAATTAAAAAGTGACGGGCAAAACAAATCGGCAAGAAGGGGTGGCAGGTCTACCAAGTTAAGTAGCAGCAAATATACAAAAAGCAAAATCTCTTTTAGAAGCATTTCAATTGGCTTTTGTTTATGCGAGAGATTTCCCCCCGTCCAGCGCCCTCAAATTCGCTTTGAAGTCAAGCATTTCCATGGTCCGACACGGTGTGAGTAAGTTTTATTTTTGGTAGCAAAGAAATTTTATTAGCAAAAGGGTTGGGAAAGCGCTTTGAAGTTCAAGTGTAGGCGCAGCAGCGGCCCCATTGATATATTTATTTCCCCACACAATAATTTGCTTTGTGGCCGTCGCAAATTGAAATATCGCATCAATTTGCCATGCCGCCGTCGCGCTTTGTAATAAAAGTAAATAATAATTTAATAAAAAGGCAGAAAAAACCACCGCAAACTACAAAACGAAACACCGAAATGCGGCGCAACAAAAAAAATCGAAAATCGAGTGAGCAAAATCAACCATTAAACGCTGCCGGCAAAGAACAAAGCCGAAGCAACAGACCGGCAAAAAGCCGACAACAGCTGGCCAAAACGCAAAAAAAGCCGAAAGAGTTGCTCGTTGGAGGGGCGGCAATAGCACCCTCTATATGTCAGTTGGTCGACAGCAGCCCACCAGCGAATCGAATCTGCCGCGCATGCGCAGATTCCCCATGTGTGTGGTTTTCAGTGCTGCCAATTTAAAAAAAGACTAGCTAAAACGGAAAAGCGAAAAACTACTATTTAAAATATAAGAAATAAAGAAAAAGTTTGTTTTTAAAAAGCTTTTTGCTCTTAATTGTATTAGTTTAATCAGAATGAAAAACAAATATAGTTTTTAAATACGTTAAATAGCGTTGTAAAGTTATTGCTTTCCAATTATGGTAGTCAAGCTAATGTTTATAAATTTTTGTAAACTAGTTTTAGAGGTATACTATTTTTTAAAGTATTCCGTATTATGACTATATTTTCCCAGGCCAACAAAAAGTAATTGCACTTACAAGAAAAGGACAAATTGGCAGCACCAGAGAGCCCGGTTTGAAGTCGCCGAGATGCCGATGCCAACCGCTTCAAATTGATTTGAACGAGCGCAAGAGCTTTTGGACAAGTTGATAAGAGCGGCGATCCGACAGCACCGTTTTGCTGTTATAGTCGTTGGTTTTATCTTTGTATACACTTCAAAACATTAATAGCAATGTTAATCCTAAAAATCCTTTTTGGCTACAAAAAAACTTTTGATACAAATTTTGATTATAGAGGATCGCTAATCGTAACAATTAAGTAATTGAAATATTACAAACAACTTATACAAACAACTTATACAAACTCATTTAATTCACAATAAAAGTTCAATTAAATAATTGTTATTATAACCGCTATCACGACTTAACCAAAATTAATATTAATATGTTTTGAATTATAAATTTATTTTTAGCTATTATTACGAACAACAGGAATATTTTTTTAAATTAATTTGTATACAAAAGATTTTTTCTACGGTATTTCTTTATTGAGTTTAGCAATAATGTAATAAATAAATGTAATCATAAAATTGTTCCCTTTTTTTATAACATTGTAATGACAAATCATCCTTCTTTTTGCAGCTAAAAAATCTTTGATATCTATTAATATATATATAGTAAGAAAAAGAAAGGGTATATTTTAAATTCGACTTGTACAGTTTTTTAACGATCTTTTATCTCACTTTTTTCGCACGGGTGGCTTTCGACGTGGCTGAAACTGTCCGAAGAGATCCGACGTTCGGCTGAGATGGCGGCGAAACATCAAAAGGTGTGTGATGGGCGAATGTGTGAGGTGGCCGCCTGCGGGCCAGGCTAAAATGAACATGCACACACGCCGGCGGAGGGTCGGAAAAAATGGGGAGGAGATCGGGTCTGGAGAAGGAGGTTTGGGTCTGTCCAGCTAATCAAGCATCAACTTCATCATCATCATCAACGTCTTTACGGCTGCGTTTTTGGATGCAGCATGAACAGTTAGTCATATGGAAAATGCATTGGTAATCGCAGGGAAAAAGAGCGGCAGAGCTTTGATAAATTAAAATTTAGTTTTACAATCATTAGGGGATGTATAAGAATATGAAACTTTGAGCGATTTGTAAACATAATCATAATTAACACCCTTTATTAAAAGTTCATTGGTGCATAAAAACGGAAACGATTTTTTATCTACAGATTTTGAATTTATTTGTTTTGGTAAATTAAACCCAAATTATTTTAGCAGTGATTAGATACATACTGTTATGTTCAACAATGTTATTTACATTCTTTCATTTGTCAAATAACGTTTGGAATTCAGCTTAAAAGAAATACAATGAAGAGAATATTTTGACTGTTCTGGTTCACAGTGATATTTTTTATAATAATAAATTTTATAAATTTTATAATTTTATAATATAATGAAGAGAACATTTTGACTGTTCTGGTTCACAGTGATATTTTTTATAATAATAAATTTTATAAGCAACTTGAATTCTCTTTTCAAAGCAACCAACATAAAATGCCAATGTTACGATAAGACTTTTCGTGATTTTCCGCAATGTGAATTAAAGGTATTGGGCCGTGGAAAAGTCGATATATTTATTTACACCAAGATTCATCAGCTACCAGTAAAAAAAGTACCTGTATATTAACTATAAAAGAAAACAAGAAAGGAAAGCTAACTTCGGGCGGAGCCGAAGTTGATATACCCTTGCAGAATACTCTGTAAATTATATTCTCCAAAATTATTCATATGATGCATTCTTAATACTCATAAAAAATCCGAACTTCCTAGCTTTAACAACAACAAAGTTATGGCATTTCCAATCGTTCAGTTATATGGTAGCTATAGGATATAGTCCGCCGATTCTTATGAAATTTGGTAGGTCGGATTGATTGGCCAAATATAACACCCACAGAAAATCCCAAATTCCTAACTTTACAAACACCAAAGTTATGGCATTTCCGATCAATCAGTTATATGGCAGCTATAGGATATAGTCGGCCGATCCTTATGAAATTTGGTAGGTCGGATTGATTGGCCAAAAATAAAATCCATAGAAAATCCCAACTTCCTAACTTAACAAACACCAAAGTTATGGCATTTCCGATCAATCAGTTATATGGCAGCTATAGGATATAGTCGGCCGATCCTTATGAAATTTGGTGGGTCGGATTGATTGGCCAAATATAAAACCCATAGAAAATCACAACTTCCTAACTTTACAAACACGAAAGTTATGGCATTTCCGATCAATCAGTTATATGGCAGCTATAGGATATAGTCGGCCGATCCCGGCCGTTCCGACTTATATACTGCGTGCAAAGGAAAGAAGGGTGTGTGCAAAGTTTCAATCCGATAGCTTTAAAACTGAGAGACTAGTTTGCGTAGAAACAGACAGACGGACAGACGGACAGACGGACAGACGGACATGGCTATATCAACTCAGGAGGTGATCCTGATCAAGAATATATATACTTTATAGGGTCGGAGATGTCTCCTTCACTGCGTTGCACACTTTTGACCAAAATTATAATACCCTCTGCAAGGGTATAAATATAAAATAAAATATTCTAAAAGCACTCTAATTCCAGGTTAATTTGAGCTTATTTAGAAAATTTAGTGGCTATAGACCTTTTATGTACAACTTGACCGTGGATTTCTGCAATTTCATCAAAAATAAAGATCGATTTCCCTGGTTTAATATAGTCCACGACTCAATATCAAATTACTCAAATCTAAATCATACTTGTATCCTTTATTTCGTTTTGTTACATTTAACAATATGCATTTACCATTATCAGCATGACATTATTGTTTCGAAGATGGTCCTGAGTGATCTAATGCTGAAGAAGACGCCTTTTCCAACTGGATCGTACATGTTCCAGTTAATTGCTGGCAATCCCAAGTGGCAGGGCATCACACAAGTTATGACGGAAATTGTTGAGGCTTAGGACTCATTAAAATTTTTTTTTTTTTTTATATAACATATATATTTTATTGATACGTTAATCAGCCAATTAAATGGCTATAAAACGTAAGGACTAGAAGAAGTAACAATCATAACATGGAAAAACATAACAGCAGCGATAAATATCAATATGTTTTTGACTATGGCACTCTATGAAATAAAAAAAAAAAAAGTTTTAATTATAAATAAAAAGAAATTATCAGCTTATTTAACTACAAACTATCTATTAAAGTTACTCATAGGCATATAATATTCCCACTACGCATGCGTGAGTCCTTTTCCTCATCAGGAGCGACCAACGTGTCGTATGAGTTATGGCAATCTAATGGGCACACGTGTGGCCGCTAGTCCAATGGGCAGTAAATCAAACTTTTTGGCAGGGCGTGTAAACAGTGTTATAAATCAGAAAACCGCAAGGCACCCACCAGGCAGCGACCATATTGTCCATGGAGGCACTCATAGTCAGACAACTGGCAGTCTGAAGTCGGAGGAAAAGACGCCCACGCAGACGGGAAAACATGGAGGCGGATTGGAATGCACCAGGATGCAAGTGACGCATAAAGCTATTAACATATGAGTTTAGTGCAAGGTGGGTGGAAGTGCGTGTCTAGGATTTAGAACTCCCACTGCACCCTGCCCCAACATGAGAATTTAATTAAAACCAAACACTGACTCAGCAAGATATTTTCATTTGGTTATAATTTTGCAAAGCTGAAAATTGCCAAAATATATTGTGGTTATATTTGATTTTCTAGAGGCAATAAAACAGCCGAGTATTGACACAAACAGATTGTATCTTTATAATATTGTTCGAAATTCTTATTTAATAACACTTTATTTAAGAGATCTGCTCGTTCATACAAAATATGTTTATCATAAAAACCGAGAAAACCTACTGACTTCAAAAGGTAAAAAAGCCCTATTTTTACCAGCTATTTGTTTTGCTAGAGTACAACGTACTCTTTTTTAAATATAGCAATTAGATAATTGTGACTATGATTCGTGTTAATTCAAATTCGTTCGAGTTATGTGTTGCAAATGAAATGCGTTCCAATATAATGGTCCAATTATTTAAATATCAAACCTTTAGAAGATTTATTTAGTTTGTTGAAAATGGTCAAGCTTCAATTAGCTTTCTCAGCATTGTGTGCTTTGCTTCTTTTTGGTAAAGCTCTGTCGGAAAATCGTACTTCTCAACTGTTCGAGGAAATCGGTAGCCACACAAAAGAGAATTTTGTATTATCACTGTTTGATATTGAATTGATTCTTTTTGAGATCTATGCCGGCAACGCGATATTGAATGATTCAAATTTACGGCAAGATTTGATAATTGGAATCGGAGACTCTGAAGTAAAGAAAGAAATGCAAGCGTTGGCCACAAAATATAGGAAAGCCTCGAGGGCCCAAATCAAAATGGCCAGTAGAGTGTTCGTGCCGCAGGAAGATCCTCTGTCAAAGGAAATATCCTTGATATACTCGTTGCTAACGGAAAGAGCCAAGAAGCATGATTACAACAAAGATGTCAAGAACTCAAGAACTATGGAAAAGTGGGTGTCTGAAAACGTGGATAGGGCTCTAACCAAATACGCACTAGACAAAAAAGCTACGCAATTGGTAGCACTCAGTGGAATGTCAGTTACTCCCCAATGGAGTATTCGATTTAAGTCCCAGCACAACAGATATTTTGATAGAAAATATGGTACGGGGCATTCGAAAGGTCCACTATGTGTTCCCATGATGCACACTCTACTCAAAATTGAAACAATGGCCACTGACGAGGCCAAAGGAATATTCATAAAATTCGTAACCACAGACATTGGCATTCTGTTTCTACTCCCGAGAAAGGGTGTCAGCTGCCAGGATGTTTTGGATAATCTGAGCACCCAGATTAATGCTGAAATGGATGATCCCAGAGATATTAACTTAATATTACCCATATTTAAGGCAAATTACGAACCAGACATCAGTTCAGTTATAAAAAAAATTAATATGGCTAGTGTGTTTAACGGCACGAAGTTTTACTCGGAGTTCAACATAAAAATCGATGAATTCGTGCAAAATACTGTGATCGACATTCAACCCAATCACAATTTAAGTAAGTCAAATATTTATTGATCAACCTTTGATGATATTTTAAATTCCTTTTATTTCTTTCTTTAGCTGAAGTGAATGATATTGATATGAAAAATATTGAAAAATTTGAAGTAAATCGTCCATTTGTCTTTGTCATTAAGGATAAAGATTCAATATATGCAGTTGGTCGAATTGAAAATTTGGATGGACTTACTTCTCAGGTTAACTGTTCAAGGAAGTATTACGATTTTGACTAATGGAGAAATTGGTTTGAAATAAAAGAATTAATACTTTTATTTTTTAACTGTTGATCTAATAAAAATTTTAAATTAATTAATACATTTTTTTTTTATTAATTTTTTTTCTGTTTGGACCTTTGACCTTTGGACAAATTCCAAAATCAATAAAAAATGGAAACCAAAAATGTTAAGAAATGCAAACGCTGGTTGAGTTAAGATGGCTTACATACTGTTTTTTGATTTATTGAATATTATTTATAGCTACCCTTATATTTTTCAGCAGCCTAACATTTCCCAGCAAATCAGTTTTTATTAAAGAATAGACTTGTTCTCAATTGTTTCACATAGAATTCCCTGTTTGAATACAATAAAGTATCGAAAGATGTGCGACAAAGAAAAACTTTGAGAGCTCAAAAAGCAAGGCAGTAATTCGAATTGAGTTTGGCCGGAGACAGACGAATGGATCGGCTGATGAATATGGATATGACTTGGAAGGGCCTCCGTCTGAAAATGGAACCGGGTTCTTCACATTCGCTGGGATGGGATGGGATGGGAATGAGTGCATACGGAGTGTTCGCTGAGTGATGTGCGCATGGATAATGAAGCAATGACGGCATGAATGACTGAATGAGGCGGCAACCTCTGTAAGATCGGAGGAGGGTTGCCTCAAAGGGGCAGCCGCCGATGCACGACTCCGCCAGCGACTTGAGCTCCGCTTGCGGCTTGAGCGTTTAATTAAAAGGCAACAAAGAAGACAACACAAAAAAAAAAAACACCACGAAATAAAGGAAAAAATATATATAAAGAAAAAAGGCGGCAACTGAGGCGTCGGCCAGCAGTTGATCATTATCAGATACGGCAGCGTAGATAATGCGAGATACGATCTGGCAGTCGGGGGAGTTGGTGGGGGGTGGGGGGTGCTAGATGCTGTTTCTGGCCCAGCACTTTAAATAATGATTTTTATTTTTCGCTTGGACCCAAAAGTAATACCCCAACCTCCGCTTCATGCCTGCTGTCTATAATTTACGAGTTTACGAGTGGTGCACAGAATAAATGGAAAACTTTATTTTGGTCAAAAGCGTGTGGAAAAATAAATGAAAATGCATAAATTATTATTTCTTCGCCTGCGGTGCGACCAAGATTTCCACTTCAGTATGGCGGCAATTTAAGATTTCTGTGTATTGCAAGATTTGATTATTTATTTTGGTAAATATTTCTTAAAAGTATTAGGGGCGTGATCTAATCAATAGTTTATGCAGACGGTGTTTAATTTATAGTAATTAGCTTTATTGAAATCTTGTAATAGTTCAGGATTTATCAATAATACTGATTGCAATAAACTAAATTTTTTGTATTTATTCATGACCTAATTTCTGGAATTCGATGAATGCTGTATTTAACTAATTTACAAAAATAAGTAGGTATATAAATAAACGATAAATTAACTTCTTGGAAATGACATAAGGAAAATGATCTTCTCAAGATATTTAGGTATTTCTTCTTCCTTCAGCAGAAGTCTACAAGACTCCGCCCAGTGCCCACACTTAAATCGCTTTTATGGCTCCCATTTAATCTATCGCTTCCCATCATGTTTTTGGCATCATTAATCTGGTCATTAAGTCCCACAGAAACCATAGACGCGATGCAACAGACACACTCTCTTTATATATATGTATATATTTATGTATATGTCGGGCCTAATCGTTTGATGGACATCGATGGACGGCGGACTCTTGTAAATGTAAAATCGTAAAAATCCAGTTGAAACGGGCGGGCAAAAAAGCGCCCAAGAAACGCTCATAAAACGCCTGATTGAAATGGCTTCATTTGGTAGACAAAAATTTGTTGCTTCGTCTGTGTTGTTGTTTGGATAGATTTTTAATGATTTCGGCCTAATAAGCAACAATTGGTTGCACTGCCTATCCCCTTTTCCCTTTCCCCGATTCCAATCAATGCACAGTTACAATTTCCGCTTTGGGGCAGCAAACAAATTTTCCTTCGACGCCAACCAATATGCATCTTTTATTTTTTTCGTTGTGGGCCCGCGTTTATCAAAATTAATTGGAAATTTTCGTCGTTTTTTTTGTTTTTGGTTTTTTAACGACTTCTGGGTAAAAGTCATTTGAGTGGCGAGAGGTGGGGACTTCAAAAGGCCTGTTGCACATGTTACCAAGGGACTGGAGATCTCTTCGGGGGCTCATTTGGTTCTCTGGGCCTGCCAGTTTTATGGCCTTACAATATAATTTCCTGTCAGTCAGACGACGAATGCCAAAAACTACAATTCATAATTGCTTTCGAAATTTGTTTATAAACGCGTCCCACACATCGACCATCATCATGGGGACAACTTCATTTGAATTTTACGACAAACATACTATAAAATATAAATATTTATGACCAGCACTTACAACAAAGTTAATTTATTTAATAGTTTCACGATGTACACGACCCTACCAATAAGCATGTGATATTTATTTGATTTTGCTTGAGTTTACGACTTCCAAAAAATTTATTTTGAAACTCTTCGCCGAGCCGATCACTGAAAATATATATTTTTTAATGAGTTTTACCAACGATCCAGCGATGCTTTCAGTCTGACGCAAATTGAAAAATATATCTTCTTATCTAATTTATGATACCCCATAATTTACTGAAAATATGTGGAAAATTGGGAGCGCCTCATCGCCTTGTTGTTGTTGAACGTTTAATGGAATCTGAAAAAGAAAAATAATCTATTGCTGCGTTTTGTTCTTAAATTTTTGGTTTTTTCTAAGAATTTAAATAATTAAGATTGAAGGATATTGTGCTTTGAAGAAAAATAAATACATTTCAAATAACAGACTCTTCTGAAAACTTTAGAATGCCTATTTTCAAAAGGAGAAACATTTTAGGTTTTAATAATTAACAATTTACTGTATATATTTTGTGATGATTTAGTCGTATATTTTTAAGGAACCTTTAACTTGTTTCCTTAGTATTTCTGCCATGCGACACTATATATTACACTTACTTTACTTTTAATACAAAACATATAAACTATAACTTCATTAAATAATTAGAATGTCATCAGATTTTTCCATTAATATTGTGCCCTGGAACTACAACCTATTTTCCCTTTAACACCGTTCGAGACAGGCCAATTATGTTTATCTCGTGTAGCTAAAATGACCCCCATAACCTAATCAACTCCCTAATGCAAACACACACGCCACATAAAGCTCGATTAAACTCGTCTAACCCTTCAAAAACTCATCAGCATTGCCAATATGTGTGAAGATAGGGACATTTCGGTGGATCAGACTGGGGGAAAAGCGGTGGGAAAAGCGGGGGAAAAGCGGGGGGAAAATGACACAGAGCGAATCCAATACTGGTTCCTTGTCAATTACAGCGCCAGTTGCCATGGCCGTCGCTCAGTCATCGTCGGGGCAAATGTCAAAAACCCTATATAGCCCTATATGACCGCCGCCGACCAAAGAACAGGGCCGGCAGACATGTTCCACTCGTTTTTGGGTAATTACATTTGCAGCTCAGCCTGTGCACATCGACTTTTGTCAAACGAAAAGCCTGAAAATGTTGTGCGAAATTCAGCAGAACGAAGTGCTGGGGGTTGGGATGCGAAACCGGAGAAAACATAAATCAATATCGGCTACAGGGCGGACAGATCCCCGACATCAATCAGGGGCCCGCATCCAAAAAATAAAGGGAGCCACAAAGATGCAGCCTCGTGAAATTAAGACGATGGATCAATGTATGACGAAGGCAGCACAAAAGAGGGTTCAACTCGACAAAGAAAGAAAAAAAGTTGAAGGGACCAAGAACCGAAACCCTTCTGTTAGAAGGAGGTTCCCTCCGCCGCCTTTTTGGGCCTTCCCCGCCGTTCGATCGCGTGTTCTTCTTCAATTACAGCGCCATTATACCAAAAGCCGAAAACGTTTTGCGGTGCGAAAGCCTGCGGACCCCCGAGGGCCAACTTAACCCTCTATATGATCTACTTCAGAAATATTGAATTTTAAAAAATTTATAATGCTGGTTATAACAATATTCCTCTTAATTTATCATTAATTTATTAAAAAGATAATATAGAACACTAGCTATTTAGTTCCCAAATATAATATCTGATGTTTTACAGTTTATGATATTTTTAATGTTAATTTTTAATAACAAGAAATAATTGGTTTTATGAAAACCCATAAAATCATTAGCTTATAATCGGGACGATCCGGTAATTTTATATAAACGACAATGTGGTCGTTTTAAGCTTTAATATGCATGTAAAATTGTTTTAGATGACGTGAAATAATATGAATATTTGATTTGTTAAAACGAAAATTTTAATATTATCAATTCGATTATTAAAAGTTTGTTTATAACGAAGTCAATGGTCGGTTTAGACTTGGATGATAAGTGTTTTTAATTAACATGTTTTGAAGTTCATTGGAACTAAAAAAGAAATAACTCTATTCTAGCCAAATTTTATATGAATAATTTGTTGTTTTTAGCCAGTTACTCCCAAGACTTAGACGACCCATGTGGAACCTCAGAGGGTTAAAGATGAGACAGTCTTGCTTCGCGGGTTCCTTCCACTTGCTTTCGATCGCCGAAGAAAAGAAAAGAGCTTTGTGTTTTTTCACCTTTTTTTGCCCTGCCTGCTCTTTGCAGCGTAATTCAGGATTCTCCTTGCTCTGTTATTATCGGCGGGTTTTGAGTTTGGGTTTGGGGTTACTTTTTTCTTTTTGGTTGCTGGTAGGTAATTGCCCTGATGTTCAAGCTCAGCAGGCGGCTTCTTCTGCGAAGCAAAAACTGGAAGGGGGCAGCGGCCGGGATCAAATTTAAAAACAATCAAAATTTTTTTCTGCTGCGGCTATGCATAGAGCCAAATTAAAACCGGGTATTATCCAAACATGTGTATAATCAAAAATTGCTGGTGGAGGGAGCAACAACCAGTCGAAATAAAACTGGTAAAGTGTAAAGCAAAATGAAAGCTCTGAATTTAAGGCGTGGCAATTGAAGATCTTGCTCGCATAATTGCTTTTTTGTAGGCAACATTTTAGAACATTGTACATAATACTGGAAATAAAAATTTTAAAATTGATGTGTTCCTATTAGTATGGCATACAAAGTGAAGTGCACTTGCATGCAAAAACCAGGACTTAAGCACAATCATTTTGAAATCGGATTTCTCTAAGAAAAGCTAGTCACTTTTCAAGAAAGCCATTTTTCGAAAATTTAGCTCATAAAAATGACGAAAAATCGACTCAAAAATACAAACCAAGATGAGTATACAGATTTTTAGAGAATTAAACCACAATCATTTAGAAATATGCCACATTGAAATAGGATGTCTGTAAGAAAAGTTATGGGCTCAGAAGGGCAAGTTTTTGGTCACTTTTCAGCAAAGCCATTTTTCGAAAATTTCGAAAATTTCGAAAATTCAAACCAAGCTGAATATACAGATTTTTAGAGAATAAAATCACAATCATTTAGAAATATACCGCTTTAAAATCGGATGTCTGTAAGAAAAGTGATGGACTTAGAAGTGCAGGTTTTTTAACACTTTTCAGCAAAGCCATTTTCCAAAATTTGTAAAAGAAACAAAAATATAAAAACTAATACGAATGAACAAGCCACCTCAAAATCCCAACATACCCTAAGCTATTAATTTCGAAACCACCGCCACAGCCCCAAAGAGCGCGAAACTGTGCTCGAAAATGCTCTTAAGTAAACAAAACCACATTGTTGGGTTGTTTTTGTTGCATGTTCACAGCTGTCTCTTTGCAGATTAAGGCAAAGCAACACTGAGAGAAATCCCCAATTTTCCATACATTTTCATCTTCGAATTCCATATCGAAAGAGAAGAGAGCGCTGCGAAAGAGAGTCCGAAAGAGAGCCACTCGAAATTCGAACACCCAACCACTGTGTCGGCGATTCTCGAACGTCTCGGTGTTTTCAGATTGTTTTCGTCCGTCAATTCGAATAGACGTGTGAACTGAGACTCCGAGATACAGCGAAAAGTATCTGGAAGATACGCGTAGTTTGGCCCACCAAAACAACTACTGACCGAATGCATTGTTTGTGGCCCAGTGAAGTTATCGTTTAAGATTGCAAATTAATCAAATTAATAAATATGTATCTGCGAGATACGCAGGGTAGTGAAGTTTTTCCAGCCGCAGTGAAAAATCAAGTGTAAAAACCAAAAACCAAAAACCGCCCCCGCAACAATAATAAAAACAACCGGTACACGCCGCCGCCACCCAACCCCCGGAAAATCGACGTCGCAGTCGTCGTCGTCGCAATCGTTTGGAAATAAATCGTGTTTTTGCATTTGTTGTTTTTTCGTTGTTTATATACGCCAAGTTATTTACGTCGCAAAGCAAAATAACAACAAAACGGTTGGCGAAAAACAAATCAAGTCGGCAAAAATGTTTTACAATTAAAATTACGCGCGCAGCGGCGGGCACAAAGGTGCGAGTATCTGCAAGATACACACACGTAGATCAAATAAAGCAGCGCAATATGCGCAAATTAAACTAAAATGCAGCACATCAGAGCTGTAAAAACTTTTACGACCACGACTGGTAACTTTGCCACCCGCACAGTCGAAAATAATACCAGATACAAATTAAGGTCGCCCAGCGGCAGCGCATAAAAACACGTTGGAAGTGGATGTGGATGTGGCAAAGGAACTTTTCTACCTGGAGTATATTAGTCTCAGTCCCTTAGATCCTTACACAAAAGGATAGCCAGCCGGGGAGCGCAAAACTCACACACAAAGGCCGTAAAACATTTTGGGCTGCTGCAGGTCTCCTCCTCCCAGGACTCGTAAATTTCCAACCCAACCAGCACTACCACCCCGAAAAAAAAAGAAAAACACCGAAAAATCCAAGACACCGCCAAGTAACTGCATCCTCAACCAACTTATATATAGAAATATATATATATATATTCGTGCAGAGATGGCGGGCAACATTGTCAAATGGTGGAAGCATAAAATTCTCGGCGGCTACAAACAATTCTCAGGTAAGCGAAAGCCAAGCGTTCTCAACTTGCTTAGTGAATTTGCAGATAGTTGGCAACAGATACGGAAAAGATGGATGTTAATGCTCTCGGGGAGTGCCAAAGTTCGGGGACGGGCGAAAGCATTCAAGGAAACAATTTGTTTGCAATACCTACCCAAGTAAATTAAATTGAAAGATAAAATGCGTCAGGGAATCTCTTAAATATGGGGTATTAATTACAGTGCGATGTGGAGATATGAAGTATGGCTCAGGGTTCTTGTAAAATATTTGTATTTCGAATTCTTTAAAGGAATTAAACAGTCATTTATTAGGTACAAGCTTAGTAAATTTGTATAAAATCATGCACATTTTATATTTTCCCTTGCCCAGAAAGTAATTACCCCAAAAGCCAAACCCATTAACCCATGCAGAATGTTTCCTTTACTCGTTTTCCAGCTGCTGGTTTTCGAAGGTCATTCCCATTAACATACAACGAATCTGGACCAAATATCTAAAATATTACCTTCCCCCAAACAATTGCTCACCCACAGCCATACTCACATGTACCTACTATTCTGAATTCATTCAGTCAAGGGCTTCTCCCACATCCTTTTCCCGTAATTACGCCGAACAACTAAAAGTTGAAAATAAAATGTAGGCAATACCCCGGCTGCATTTTTATCTAGAAGATACACAGCCGTTCGCTTGTGGTCTTTGGAAAAAAAAGGGAGGCGAATGGAAGTGGTGGTAGGAAAACGACACACAGAAATAGAACCAAAAATCGGGCATGGAGCAGAAGAAGAAAAACACAACTGCAGAACATCAAAAGAAAGAGCGACCCATGGAAATAAATAGATATTTTTTTTGGAAACAGATCGAAGCGATCGAAGGGACCGCGATCAATAGAACGTTTCGCTTTGGCTCCTGCTGCTGCTTAGAGATTGGCTCCTTAGTCACGGGTAGCATATCATGAACGTAAATAAACAAGAGGTCCAATTCCGTTTTCGAAGTGGGATCGGAATTGGAATTGGAAATGGAATATTGGACGACCTTTTTGCCAAACGAGCGACGCGACGTTGATGTCCGAATCGCTGAAGGAACATCAATCAATCAATGTTCCTTAGGTTCGATTTTGTTTTTTCCGTCCACAAATTCATTGGAAATATTCTGGGGGCCCCCGTCCACTTTGTTTTTCTCGAGTTTATTTTCTTTTCTGCTCTGTTTTGAAGCCCCAGAGAGAGATTTCTTCGGCGGCTGGCAATTGGTCTGCGCCAATTAAATGCCAGGCCAACACTTTGAACCCTTTGCAGGACAACAAGTCCCGTACACTAATTGCTGGCAGATGCAAGGGGAATTCAAAGGAAACCTCCAAAGGCACACCGAAGTATGCAACTTCAAAGAAAGCAGCCTCGAAAATACTACACAGCAACAACAAACGGGAAGAGAGTGGAACAAAAAAAATGAAAAAATGAAAATAAAGCGAATTGAAATGCCGACGCCGTTTAAAAACAACGTACGAACATTTCTTACCTGTTGCAGGTAAAACCGAAGGCAAGTCGATGCCGCGATGGAGGTGGAGTTTGCCCGTTGCTGATGGAGTGCACTGAGAAATATTAGATCAATGATTGGGCTTTTAGATACCAGGAAAAATGTATCCGTAGAAAATAATTGACCCTTGATAAATATCTAATCCAGTAAAACTATTTGTTATTGCCAACAAACCATTTTATGGTGTGATTGATTTAAAAATACAAATATTTAAATACTATTACTTTTTGGCTATATAAACTATAATAAACTATTAACATCGAAAATACGACTTAAAACAAATATAAAGACTTTATAGTTATTTCCTGTGTAGAAAGCAGCAGCTGCTACGAGGCCAAGACCGATACGATACGATACCGACTCATACACAAAAACCTTTTAAAAACCCTCACGTTGATAAAACAACAACAATAACATCGGGCATCAGCGGCAGCAAAGTCGTCGAGCCGCCGCCGCAAGCAAAAATAATAATAACTGAGCGGCAGGCGGCAGAGTCGTTGCAAGCTCCCCATCCCCATCTCCATCCACATCCAAAACTCAGAAACTCCCCAACTCCATCTCGAAGATACATCCACATCCACATCCAACCAGTTCCGCGGCCTGGCCAACTATGCCAAACATCTCGGCAGCGGCTTCACAAAAGCGGTTTAGAGACCAAACGACGATCGACAGACGGACGGAGAGACAGAAAGACGGACGGACTGAGGAACGGCGATCCAGCGAGCGTACTCTGTTTGTATCTTTGAGATACACACCGCACTGATGCTGCGACTGCCAAGCTGCGCTTTGCGCTCTGTTCAAAAGATGCGCTTTTTGCTTTGAGGCGCGGCACCAGAGGCCGTCCACAGTGGTTCAAAAAAATATGTGTTTGAATGGGGATTATAGGCGGTACTTACGGGTAGGGAAATAATGAAACCGAAACTGGGAGGTCATTGAGGTCTAGCAGGGATTATAAGCAGATTAAATACGATCTACTAGACATGTTGTAAAGATGGATTAATACCCTGGCTTAGGTGCACATGAGGTGTAGATGTCTGTATCCTTTTTTTATATGGGATATGTATATGAATATAGGATAGACAATAATATGCATATCCCATATGTTTTAAAAAAATTTATATTTAGTTGCTCTAAATAAATACTAACTTAATTGTTTATTTTACTATTGTTTTATCTATAAATTTATATCATTTACTTAACTTTACTGTTTTAAAAAATGCAGACTTATATATTTTTAAATTATAAATAAATAAAAGTGTTAATATTTCTTAAAATTTATAAAAAAGTTTGCTTCTTAGCTTATTAATATGTTTTGCTCTAATAGATTTTATATACTTTTTGGCTTGTCAATTAAATAATATTATTGTTTAGTAAAAGCAAATGCTCTTGGTAAATTAGTTGGTTACCACTGTATCTTGTGCGGGTTTCACAACTTTTGCCTTGGCTTTTCTTCGATGCCGTGCCGTTGCTGTTATTATTATGGTTGTGTGGTTGTATGGCTGTGGTTGTTGTGAATTACGGTAGAAGGCAGCAGGCGAATCGCGTCGGCATGGCATCCAATGCCTTCATGACAGGCCGAAAGCAAGGCAACGTGGCTCCAACCGCACCGGGGCTCAAAAGCCTGGCCCGAGGTCCAGCTCAAGCTGCAACTACCAACTTTGACTTGGCACTTTTTGGCTGATCCACGGAACTCGAGATGGAAAAAGGGGCAGGGAGCAATAGCCTGGTATAAGCAATTTTCGTAATATTAGCCAGGAAGTTGCCGCTCTGCCTTTCTGACATGCCAGCGACCCTATATGGCCGGTTCGGTTCGGATCGAATCGGTTTTTACCTTTTGGTTTTGGTCCACCTCGATCGACTGGTTTTTCGGAGGCGGCTGCCACCAAACCACCAACCAAAACCAAAACCAAAACAATGCTGTGCCGCCTTGTGCCAAAAGATAAAAAGCTGTTAGCTCGTAGCTTCTGCATTTCTGCAGGCTTCCCGGGGGTTGGGGCTACTCAAGATATATGTAATGACTTTTGAGGTTTTTGTTTTGGTCATCGGCTTTTGTTTGTGTTGATTTAGCAATTGGCTCTTGGGTCTCTCTTTTCTTGGAATTATGCCGCACTTGGGCTGAATGAGCAAATACCACGACCCCCAAATAAGAGGGTCATAACTTCCATGGATTCGTTACAAAACGAAGACTTTTGGGTACACAACAACTTAAATTCCTTACTTTATTGATCAAATAAAGTATATATTTTATAGTCGATTTATAATACTTCTTTTATTTACAAAACTTAAATATTATTACTTTAACCATTTAATGAGTAGATATAGAGCTCCTTTAAGTAAAAATGTATTATTGGTAAAAAAATTTGAAAACTTTGAAATACTTAAATAAATAAATCAAAGAACTAACTAAAACTGCTCCCTTACAAAACACCAACTCTTCCCTTTTTTTAAAAGCAAAAAAGAAAACAAGTTCTAGGCAAATATTTATGAAAACTTGGTTGCCAGTTTGTTTCAATAACTCTGATGGAGGAACCGTGTTGGCTCTTCTTCTTTGCAAATTATATATACGAGGGTCGGTGCCTCTGACGTGTGATTGATAAGCGAACCCCCCGCCTTATCTTAATAATATTTAATGCATGGCAAGGCGAAGCGTGGCGAGGCCGAAGCGAAAAGTGTTGTCACCAAGGGGGAAGGGTGTAAAGTTGGGGACCGGTGTGGTTTTTGGGGGGCCAGGGGAATAGTTTGTGTATAGTGAAAATGAAATTGAAAATAATACAAAACGCTTTGTCGGTCATTAGCTTTGAGTGGACGCCGCCACAGCGGCTCTTTGCCGCTTTCGAGTATATTTTTTTTTCGGGGATCGTCGCGTCATTTGTTCGCTTGGTTTGGGGTTCGGTTCGGTTTGGTTTGGTTTTGATTATGTCAAAGCGAAAAAGCCGCCAAACATGTGTGCCCCAACCCGCATGGCCGTGTGTTCGTAAATGCTTTGAGGAAAGCGGCCTGGGAAACTTTTTTGGGGAAGACCCCCACCAAAGTGGAAACTCCGATTTTTTTTGGTAAAGTGACAGAAATTCGGTTGGATTGATAGGGAAAACACAGATATACTCAAAACAATTTATTGCAATTTATTTATTAGGTATTTAAAACGCTATGCTACGAATAGTAGTTTTAAGCAGATAAGCTTAGCTTTTTAAATACCTAAAAAAATGAAATAAATTGTTTTGAATATATCTGTGATTTCCCATTAAATTATATGAAAATAAATTTTCATTAAAACTGTATCAAAACAATATTTCATATAAAATATTTAATTTTGTTCTTAGTTTTCTTTTGATGGCCTGAGAACATTTTTATTTTATTTACTTACCTTTATATAGAAATATTTAAGTATTCAGACTAACTACCATGGTGCTTAATGATTTTCCAATTTATTTCATTAAAGTTGAATGGCAGGGGGTTTCAGAGGGGGCGGAGATA